ATTAATAATTTATTGATTAAAATTGTTAAAAATCTTTGAGAGATTTTTGTTAAGAGCATTTATATTTTGAATTTCATCATTAAGATGCCCATCCAAAATACCACAATTATTCAAAATCACTGAAAGGCTTTTATTAAGAACATTTAAACTTAGAACCACATTGGCAATATGCTCATTGTTATGGTTGTTGTTGTTGCAATAATTATAAGGAAGTCTTGAGATATTTCGAATTCCATTATCAAGATGTCCACTTAAAACACGATGACCATTCAAAATCTGTGAAATATTTTTATTAATCTTGTTTAAATTTTGAACTGCTCCAACAAGGTGTGCAATGTTATGATTGTTGTTGTTGCTGTAATAATTATAAGGAAGCCTTGGGATATTTTGAATCCCATAATCAAGACGTCCAGCTAAAATACGATTATCATTCAAAAATTCTGAAAGACTTTTACTAATAACATTTAAATTTAGAACAACGTCATCAAGACTCCCAACTAATGCATTATTATGATTGTTCGGATCAAATTCTGCTTGATTGTTTGGTGGAATAATAAGTTCATTTCTATTAAGAGCATTTATATTTTGAATTTCATTATTGAGAAGTCCAGTCAAAATACCATAATCATTCAAAATTCTTGAAAGATTTTTAATGGTATCATTTAAGTTTAGAATCACAAAATCAAGGTTTTCACCTAATGCATTGTTGTTGTTGTTGTAATTATAAAGAAATCTTGTATTAAATTGTGCTTGATTATATGGTTGAGGAATAACGAGTGCATTTTGATGATGATGGTTTACCTCAGGATTCGAAGGTTGAGGCTGTTGTAGAGTCAGAGTTTGTTGTGTTCCAAGAAGTAAATGTTGTATATGTAAAACTTGAGTTTGTATTTCAAGTGAAAAATGAGATTGTGGCGGAGATAAAAATTCAAGAGAACTATTGTTTAAATTGGCAGCTTGAAAACTCTCACCAAAAGTATTAATATTAGACGCGTTATCACCATCATCATCATCATTATTATTATTAATAATAATATTATTATTATTGAGATTAATATTATTAAAATAGGTAGAAATCGAAGAATTATTTTGTAG